CAGAGCAATCTAAATGAATTTACAGGGTATGGTATATATATTTACAAAATAATGGTTTAATATTACAAAAACGGTTACATAGTTTGAAAGAACAAATGAGTAGAAAGAAAGGAAAACAACTTATCAGAAACTAAAGTAAACTAAAGTTCTTGCTTCTGCTTATCCACATATTTCCATACGTGTTGTTTTCCGTCCCTCTTGTCGCCTTTCTAGTTTCTTTCCATTTAAAGACAGGATTCCCATTGCCCTGAGATCACATGTTGTGTATCAGTTCACGTGTCAATGCTGTAGCGCATTGTATGTTGGCCAAACACGCCGACACATTCACACACGTATCTCAGAGCATATGGGGGTCTCGCCTTTGACTGGAAGAGAACGCTCTATCTCAACCATGTCTAGTATACTCGCTCACAAACACATGCACAAACACCCAGTCTCCGCTTCTGATTTCAAAATTCTATCATCAGGCACTTCTGAGTGGGATCTTCTTATCCGTGAAAGCCTATTAATTTCTCAACTTAACCCTGTCCTTAATGCTAATATTAGATCTACCCCTCTTGAGTTATTTTAGTTATGTAATATTAACCTTAACTATACTAACCATGCACTTAACATTAATCTTTACTTATTAACTAGTTTCTGATAAGTTGTTTTCCTTTCTTTCTACTCATTTGTTCTTTCAAACTATGTAACCGTTTTTGTAATATTAAACCATTATTTTGTAAATATATATACCATACCCTGTAAATTCATTTAGATTGCTCTGAAGATGTTGTATTGAAAACAACGAAACGTTAGCTAATTAAAATTTTACTTTTATTATGTTTGGTTTTAAAGTTATTTGCTGGGCTCTGCTCTTTATCTTTAAACTAAAAACATAGAACTTACAATACCTTCTGTCCAACTTCCAAATCATGTTTGTTTTCAGACTACTAATTATGATGCGAATATTAATACAATTCGGAACCACTTTGGAAAGCACACAAATTCAGTCTTTCCTTACTTGTTTAGTTCAATTAAATCCTTTCCTCAGTTGTATTATGAAAGAAAATTATCTAGGACTGCCACAGCTTTTAAATGGTACCCATGGTTATCTAATAATTCTTAAATCTTATCAGCCCTCTTTGCAAGTGACCCTTTAATTAATTTAAATTATACAGGATTTGCTGCGTCGACAACTCGCAGAACATTTTCCCACTTTTCGTTGCGGTCCCAGAAAATAAAATATGTTTTCCACCCCTGTTATTGAGCTTGGCCGGTGTCGACGCACTCGAAGTAACATAATCTCAAATATTTCTTATAGGGTTCTCCTGTTTTCATGGCAGAAACGGAAGATTGCGAATATGTGTTTAACTGGAAGACTCCCAGTGCCTGTGCTGTAGAAGAGTATCCCGGGACAAACTGTGTAGTGTATGATGAAAACTATGGTTTCTACTATGACCTAAGTTCACTGACCGATATTTACAGCTATGTTATCGAGGGGAACATTAAGTACGAAGTGCGATTTTGTGGTAAAAGTCCAACTACTACTAGTTGTGGCAAAGATGTTGACTCGTGTTTGGTAAATGGTAAGTTTGACTGCATCGGTGTGAACCATAGATATCGTATATACACTAGATAGTGCATCTAATTATTCTGCAATTCAAAAAGTGAAGCCGTGATTGCAGTCTCGGGTCGTTCTCATGAAATGAGAGAAGATTCGTACATTTCCTATTTCTTAAACAGGGAACTTAAATATTAAGTTAACCCTATTCCAAATACATTTTTAAAGTATTCAAATGATGAAAGTTATTGTTTTTAAGCGTTTATTAGCGAGTGGGAACGACCAACATGGCCGCCATCTATTCAAATGGGGGTAACCGCTGGAATATTCTTGGCTTCAATTTTACTAAAAGAGATGCGCTATCTAGTGTATATATAAGATATCTATGGTGTGAACTCTACATACTGTATGTCTGAGAAGAACCGAGAAGTGAATCCGATGAGAAATTTATATAGGTTTCTGTAGTAACACTGCGTCCATAAGGGACTATACTATAACTATAGACATCTGGTTTAGCACTGACAGAGCTATCCAGTACTGAAACTGTTTCTTATGAGTACAATGCAATGCAATTTAAAGTGAAACGCATTAAGGAATGGTTCCTCAATAGATGATTCTAGCTATCGACTAATTTTTTATCTGGACAAGAAAGACGAAATATATCATTTTATTATATACACAAGGTCTGGATATGAGGTATTCTGCATTCTGATTGGTTCTCTACTAGCAGGATATTAGCTCATATCCTGCTAGTAGAGAAAAACAAAATGGCGGCTCAAACTGAATTTCCGACTTTTGCGAACGAGAAAACGACAAGTTGTTCGCTTTTTATAGCCTTTACAGGATTAAAAACACAATGAAAAAACTCCCACAAATTGCTTACAGGTTAGCAAATGAATTTTTAAAATTTGAAATGGTTAAAAATATATATTTTTGAAAAAATAATCGGCTGAAAGAGCGGAGATAAAACATAAACAAAATAGAAAAATATTGAAAATATCTGAAAAGCAAAGTCTGTGAATTCAGACCTTGTGTATATAATAAAACAGTTATTCTACTCACTCTCGTCGAATATGAGCGATAGCCGATTCGGCGCTACGCGCCTCATCGGCTATCAGCTCATATTCGACTCGAGTTCGTAGAATAACTGTTAAATAGCTCAAAAGAGCATCCTAAAATTAGTAAAATTGCAAAGTTTGGTTGCGGAATATTGTAAAGTACGGAAAATATATAGCCCTGTGAAATTAGCAAATTGTGAGTATTTTAGTATTACGCACGGTAAAAATAACCATTTTTAAGCAGAAAGTGGTTATTTTTTATCACGCGTAATACTATAAAATATTCAAAATTTGTTAATTTCACAGGGCTATATTTCCCGTATTTTACAACATTTCGCAACCAACTTTGCAGTTTTACTAATTTGAGGATGCTCTTTTGAGCTATAATGATATATTTCGTCTTTCTTGTCTAGATAAAAAAATAGTCGACAGCTGGGATTGTCTATTTGCCGAGCATGCCTGTAGGAAAGCCTGCTAGGTGTGCTCGTGGCCAAACTGAAAAATCATCTTGCAAATTGCAAGCAAAAATTTATATGAGAAATTAAGAATGATTATTACAATGATTAAATTATACAAACTGAAAAAAAGTCGACGCATTGCTGTTGACAATAGTGATTACTGTTGAATATCCGAACTGTAACAGTTCACAGTTGTCAGTTAAACTTAATTGATTGAATTAAGTATTGAAATTAAATTATCAATTATGACATATGAAAGCTTTAATGCTAAGATTTCATTCTTCTGCACAAATACTCTCCCCAGTGTGTATTATATGATATTTTCTAAATTATCATCCTCACAAATCACAAATTATGTGATGCAAAATCACTAGAATAGTAAAATGTTCCTGAGTTGAGTCAGTTCTAAGAAACTTTAGATTTTCCTGGGGTCAACTGGATTCACGAAATCCTCTGGCCTAGAGATTCCAGGCTTTTCCAACTGCAGCACTGAAATTTATATTTGCCAAGAGGAAAACTTTCCTTTTCTACAGGCAATCATGTTCCCGAGCCATAAGCTCATGTTAAAAATACTTGTTTATCTACTATATGTACAGTCATAAAATAGGTAATCAGACTATTTAGATAACTAGCATTAAATTTAAAAAATATTAAAAGTCATATACTTCTGGCACACTCACAACCCAGATTTGACTTATCAGTAAAATCTATTTTAGAAATTAGAGTACAAAACATTGTGCCTTTAAGTGTTCCCTCTATTCTCTATTTTCTATCTAGGCAAATCAGCAACTAAACTTCTCAACTTCGATAGTTTGAAATACCACGATGGTAAAGTAATTTTTACTCACAAAAGTAAAACATTCGCCGTCTTCAATGAAATATCTTGCGATCCTAAAGTCGAGACAATTTCTCCTGGTGGCAAAACTGAAATAAGCGCTGGTTACATAATCCACTGGACAAGCAAACTGGTCTGTCCAGCAGTCACTGGAGAGGAATGTAGCATAATCGATGAGAGAGGCCTATATGATCTGTCTGTGTTGGCCAAGGAGGAATGGAACTGGTTAGCCCGAAATAGAATTACGGAGTTTGGTTTTCAAGATTATCAGTTTCACTTTTCTGTGTGTAAGCCGCTGAAGAGTATTTCTCACCTCGCCAATAGCGGCTCTAGAGGGGCAATGGAGAACAAAATAAAAGGGTTAGTAAAAGTATATTGAAGATTGTTGATGCGCTACCCTGGTTCTAGAGACTCTTTGCGAGGCGAAAGAAACGAGAGGCGAGAACGGAGATCCTCTGGTCACGTCGATTGCAAATCTTACTTCCACACTTGAGTTGGTTCAGAATTTGAATCTCGCATGTGACTGGCCATTTATAAAAATATGTCAAACCGGTTTGGAAAATAAACATTACTGCACGCTAATTTATAGCTTGTGTTAAAATATTCTATTAAACTTAACCAAGCATGAATATTAATACTCCAGTGAAAAATGTATCAAAGTGATCAGGAGAAAAACATGTTAATACTAATCAGTTTGATAACTTTTTCACAAGAGTATTAATATTGATGCTTGGTTGAATTTAATAGAATATTTTAATACAGGCTATAATTAGCTTACAGTAATGTGTATTTCCCAAACCGGTTTGAGATATTTTTACAAATGGCCAATCACATGCGAGATTCAAATTCTGAACCTAATCAAGTGTAGAAGTGGGATTTGCAATCGATGTGACCAGAAGCTCTCCGTTCTCGCCTCTAGTTTCTTTCGCCTTGCAAAGAGCCTCTGGAAACAGGGTATTGATGTGCCTAGGTTAGCGAAAAACATTAAAGCAAACTTTCCAATAGATTGTTTATAAACTTGAAAATGTTTTCCTTATAAATCTTGTCTGGTCCGCAATTTTAACCCAGGCTTAGTTGTAAACGATCTTTGAACAACCTGCTCCAAATTTATTCCTGTAGCAACACTGGACGTAGTCTGTGTCACAGACCTGTGGACCATTAACTAGAGCAGCCAGCAAGATCTTGACAAGATCTTACCCAAGATCTTACCAAGATCATGCCAAGATCTTACATAAATCCTGCAAGATCATGGAAAGATCTTGCATGATCTTACAAGATCTTTCCAAGTTCTTGCAGGATCTTACCTAAGATCTTGCAGGATCTTGCAAGATCTTGCCAAACATCTTGCAAGATCTTGCCATGATCATGACAAGATCTTGCAAGATCCTGCAAGATCTTAGGCAAGATCCTGCAAGAACTTGGAAAGATCTTGCAAGATCATGCAAGATCTTTCCATGACCTTGCAGGATTTATGTAAGATCTTGGCATGATCTTGGTACAAATCCTGCAAGATCTTGCCATGATAATGGCAAGATCTTGCAAGATCTTAGGTAAGATCCTGCAAGAACATGGAAAGATCTTGCAAGATCCTGCAAGATCTTAGGTAAGATCCTGCAAGAACTTGGAAAGATCTTGCAAGATCATGCAAGATCTTTCCATGATCTTGCAGGATTTATGTAAGATCTTGGCATGATCTTGGTACAAATCCTGCAAGATCTTGCCATGATAATGGCAAGATCTTGCAAGATCTTAGGTAAGATCCTGCAAGAACATGGAAAGATCTTGCAAGATCCTGCAAGATCTTAGGTAAGATCCTGCAAGAACTTGGAAAGATCTTGCAAGATCATGCAAGATCTTTCCACGATCTTGCAGGATTTATGTAACATCTTGGTATGATCTTGGTACAAATCCTGCAAGATCTTGCCATGATTCTCCAAGATCTTACCACAAATCCTGCAAGATCGTGCCATGATCCTGCAAGATCTTGCCGTGATCCTCCAAGATCTTACCAAAATCCAGCAAGATCTTGCCATGATCTTGCCAAAAATCCTGCGAGATCTTGCCATGATCCTCCAAGATCTTACCGAAATCCAGCAAGATCTTGCCATGATCCTCCAAGATCTTAACAAAAATAGGTACGCAATGCGTACATGTGGCTAGCCTGGTAAACTTTAACTCCCCAAACCCTCCTCCAAACCCAGAAAGCCTGCCATGCTGGTTAACTTTAAATTTAATAGTAATAAGAAGACACACCACGATGGTCGGAATGCGCAAATTTTCTCCCACTTGTGCAGGCTCATTTTGTCAGTTGAGTTTCACGGTACACTTGAAAAATACCGTGTCATATCTCGTCGCTTCCCATGTAAATAGCGAATCATGAATAACACTTGAATAAACACAAATATGTGAATTTGCGCGCTAGGCTTTTGAATATAACGATTGTAAAAAGTTTCCGTGTGATCTATTAGCAATTTAAAAGATACCTAAACTGTAATACTGCCATATATTTAATCTCGCGTTTGTTATTTGCGCAGCAGCAGTTTTGCCGTGGAATTAAAATTGCGTGTCATATGATATTTTTAATAGGCAAATAGCGTTTGAGATATAGCAACATTAGCAAATAAATACACTGAAATCTTGGTTAGCACACAAACTTTTACCACTTTTAATGCAATATTACTAAACTGTAATACTGCCATATTTATTTAATCTCGCGTTTGTTATTTGCGCAACAGCAGTTTTGCCGTGGAATTAAAATTGCGTGTCATATGATATTTTAATAGGCAAATAGCGTTTGAGATATAGGCCTAGCAATATTAGCAAACAAACACACTGGAATCTTGGTTAGCACACCAACTTTTGCCACTTTTAATGCAATATTAGTCAACTTATAAGAGAACGTGAGACAAATCATGCTGAATTATTCGACTATATAACTCCTAAGACAGACGCAATAACCTTTATAGGTTTATTACAAATATGTAGACATTTGAGACGCCGTCAATGTCTGAAGAAAGGTATACTTAAAGCCTTTAAATAAACGAGTTCGATGTTACGATGTACAGTTTCTGGTCTTTTACCATAATTATCCAATGCTGGTTTTATTCGCTGCATTATAAACGTACCTCCTCCAAACAATACCCCTTCTTTAAAATACCAAACATTTCGAATGCAATTGAGATATGAAATCTCAACAAGAAGACAATTCAAGATGGCAAATGGCCCGCAAATCAGTCAAAAGTGCAAATCAAAACCCATATTTACACGGTGGTCTTTTACCATAATTATCCAATGCTGGTTTTATTCGCTGCATTATAAACGTACCTCCTCCAAACAATACCCCTTCTTTAAAATACCAAACATTTCGAATGCAATTGAGATATGAAATCTCAACAAGAAGACAATTCAAGATGGCAAATGGCCCGCAAATCAGTCAAAAGTGCAAATCAAAACCCATATTTACACGGCGAGTACGCGCAATTTCTGATCGGTTTCGACACCATAGGTTGAAGCCATGAAGATAAACTTTATTTTAATTTTCTGGTTTAACAACCTCACCAGTACTGCGTCGTAACAAACTAACAACATCACTAGTATTGCCTCGAAATGCAAATGTGAAATGTCGGCAGAAAAATACGGGCGCTTCCGATTGCTCCCGATACTTTACGAAAATCCGGACAGGACACCATGATCATCATCGCTCATCGCGTTTGTGTAGTGTGTACTATGTGATAATGGCTAGCCCGCAAACGGGCTAGCCACAAAAATCCTGCGAGATCTTGCCATGATCTTTCAATATCTTACCAAAATCCAGCCAGATCTTGCCATGACCCTACAAGATTTTACCAAGTTCGTGGCAAGAATACATGGCAAATACAGAATGAAGAGGCTCTACATGAAATATACTATACTCTGGATATAACTTTGATTGAATTTATCAAACTAACGTAAAAGTGTACAATATTGCCATAAATTCAGTGTCGGTCTTTATTAAATTGTAATCAATTAGTTCATCCAAATTATAATACTCAAGCTTTTACCCGGTTTAGTTTGCATAGTAAATGTAGTAAATTAGACCAATAATGTTGGTAAAATATTATCAATATCTATGGCGATTGAAATAAAGTCCAAATGAAAGTTCCACCTTGCTCAATATTTGAGAGAAAACAAAGGGAATCTTGTCTGTTCTTAATAATGTTGTTCTAAAGAATTGAGTTTCAAGATGGAACTTTTATTCGGAGGTTGTTTCATACTTTACTTCATGAATTATATTAGCATTGACACCATTGTTATTGCAAGTTCTTCGATTTTGTTTTTCTTCGCATATCGCGGCACTTTTGAATTTTGATTGCACGCATCCACGATAATTTGGCGTGTTTACTGTTCTCTGTACTTTTTCTTCGCCATACTTGGCGTTGAGGACTGCTATATCGTAAAAAAACACTGTGTTAAAGTAAGTCTATTTTTTGTATTTAAGTTCATTTCAATGTTTACCCAAAACACATTGCCATTGGCAAAGAAAACTATAGTACTTTTAATTAACATATACTGTGGCAACTTAGTCTTAAGTTTGTATATATCTGTTCACAGCTGGCCAGTTAATTTTTCTTGAAGTCAAATCACATATATTATTCTTACCAAACAATTTAGTGACCCTGTTGGGATCTAGTGCTGGTTTTGGAGATCTTTTCGACTGGAATAGTATTCCATCCTGGAGCTCTTCCGATGAAAATAGGAAGTCCAATAATTTGATTGCACATTTTGATGGCTCTTTTGGTGGTGCATTTACGGTCATCAAATTAATGTCATTGTGCCTCTAAAATGAATTAACAATACTTGATATTAAATCACTGTAGTTGAATTCTTTTTAAGTAAAAACGATAAATTACACATGTATACATTCTTACTTACAATCTCGATCTTTGTAGTTTCTTTTTTGGCCATAGCTTTATCATTTGGGGATGCCTTCACCATGTTTTCCTAAATAATATTTGAAATAACAAATTTTGAATAATACACATGTTGAATAATCATAGCTCAAACCATTAATTTTATATGAAAGATCTCTATATTTTATCCTAGCTTCACTGGTTGGCATAATGAAACTTAACTCACTAATGAAGCTCACATTTATACCGTAGTGTGAAATTGCGTGTTCCTATGCGCTGCATTTACGATGTTTGGCACCGGATCTGCCAAAACTACGGTTATCAGGACATTTCAGTAGCGCAAGCTGCGCAAAAGCTGTGTAATAAATATAAGACTGTGTGAATATAATAATTTGTGGTCCCAGGGGTATTCTCAACGGCTTTGTCATTCTTAACAAAACGTTAAACTAGGCATTATCACGTAAAAGCTTATTGCGACCAATGATGAGGTGTTATTAAAATTATTTAAAGTCGAAATTACAGCAAGCATTGCATCGCTTTAGCCGATTAACTTAGCCTTTTGTAACGTTATTTGAAAAAGCTTGAAACATTTATTACATGTGGTAATCAAACTGCTTAGCGCTCATTCATTCAATATACAAATAATGTGTTACAAAATAGGTTGTAAGCACTTACTTTTTATTTAAGACTGCTCGACAAGTTATCCTTTCTTCTTTAGTGCAGCAACAAAGTCGAGGAACAGAAGTATAAACTGCCGTGTACCTTGTATGTTTGACTTATAAAACGCGCCTTGGGGCTTTTACCAACGGTTGTCTACCACAAATATGCGAAAAATGCGCAGATAACAAGATTTACAGATATTGATTAATTGATCTCATTTCAGTCATTTGGATCTGGCACGCAAAGGTACGAGAGCAACTGTGCGCGTAAAAGCCTCCTTTCACAAGGATCTTTCAAAATCATGGCATTTTTGGTATGATCATGGTAAAGTCATGACAAGAGATTGTGTCAAGAACTTCCAAGATCAAGATAGATAAGATCTTGGCAAGATCATGCTGGGATCATGGTGAGATCTTGACAAGATCTTCCAAGACCATGGCAATATTATAATAGAATCTTGGCAAGATTGTGATTAGATCTTAGCAAGGATCATGATGGGATCTTGAAAAGATCCTCCAAGATCATGGCAAGATTACAATAAGATCTTGGCAAGATTTTGGTAAGATATTGGCAAGATCATGCTGAGATCTTGGCAAGATCATGGTGAGATCTTGTCAAGATTTTCAAGACCATGGCAACATGGTAGGATCATGGCAAGATTTTTGATAAGATCTTGGCAAGATCATGGTGGAATCTTGGCAAGATTGTCCAAGATCATGGCAAGATTATGATAGAATCTTGGCAAGATTGTGATAAGATCTTAGAAAGGATCATGGTAGGATCTTGGTAAGATCATGGTGGAGTCTTGTCAAGATCCTCCAAGATCATGGCAAGATTACAATATTATTTTGATATGATCTTGGTAAGATCATGGTGGAATCTTGCCAAGATTGTGCAAGATCATGGCAAGATTATGATAGAATCTTGGCAAGATTGTGATAAGATCTTAGCAAGGACCATGGTGGGATCTTGGCAAGATCATCGTGGGATCTTGACAAGATCTTCCAAGATCATGGCAAGATCATGATAGGATATTGACAAGATTTTGACAAGATCATGGTGGAATCTTGCCAAGATTGTGCAAGATCATGGCAAGATTATGATAGAATCTTGGCAAGATTGTGATAAGATCTTAGCAAGAATCATGGTGGGATCATGGCAAGATCATGGTGGGTTCTTGACAAGATCTTCCAAGATCATGGCAAGATTACAATAGGATCTTGGCAAGATTTTGATATGATCTGGGTAAGATCATGGTGGAATCTTGGCAAGATTGTGCAAGATCATGGCAAGATTATGATAGAATCTTGGCAAGATTGTGATAAGATCTTGGCAAGGACCATGGTGGGATCTTGGCAAGATCATGGTGGGATCTTGACAAGATCTTCCAAGATCATGGCAAGATCATGATAGAGTATTGGCAATGTTGTGATATATGCGATTGGTTTGATCAAGGTTCATTATACCTATACTTATGAAGGTCGAAAAATACAACTCGGCAAGAATTATGTATGACGAAAAATCATGAAAGATCTTGGCAAGATCTTGACAAGAATTTCAGACAATCTTGGCAAGATTTTGGCAAGTATGGCAAGATTGAATAATCTTGGCAAGATATTGGTAATATCTTGGCAAGATCTTGCCAAGATTAGTGTCTTGCCAAGACCTTGCCATGATCTTCCAAGATCATGCAAGATCTTACAAGATCTTGCCAAGATCTTCAACCTGGGGAAGCCAGCCCGACAATAGATGATTCCCCTTATTACGTTTTCGTAGCGCTTTGCATTATGGTTATAATGGTATCACTGATAAAGATAGCGGCCTCGAATGAAAATATTGAATGTTTTCGCGAATATTTTGCTTTTGGCTATCGTGCACCTGACCCTAGCTTTTTTAAAAGTTCTTGCACGGGTCGGGACAAAAAATAAGCCATCTTGAATATCGGTGATACCACTATAACCACAATGCAAAGCGCTACGAAAACGTAATAAGGTGAATCATCTATTTGGTCATGCTATGCAAATATTTCTGTGTTCATAGACCGTGAAAACAATCAATTTATAGAGAAGTGATTAATGATTTAAAATTTGCATAGCATATTAACCAAATTGTCGGACTGTCTTCGCCACTGGGTTTCTCTTGTAGTAACGGTGGAAAAATAAGGGGTGGAGCTCTTGGAGAAACAGATTATGATCAGTATATTAGCCTGCGTGTCAGGCTCTATGCTTTAGCCTGGCTTTAGTTAATGTATAGCTTTCCTCCTATAGTAGCACTGGTATTTTTAATGCTTCTCAGTGTGAGTTTCGTCGCATAACATTTTTATCGCATAACACATCTATCGCATAACATTTTATTAACATTAAGTGTCAGTCCTTACGTCTATAGGTCTAGCCTATCGGCCAACCTATATAGGTTCATATAGGAAACCTATAAGTTTTTATAGGCAATTGGAACATTTCCTGTAGGGATGCCTATAAGCCTATAGAGCTCTATAGGTGCCTAAAGGCTTCTATAGGGAATTAGAACATTTTCTATAGACCACCAATAGACTTTTTTCGTATATACTAACATCTAGGTTTTAATTCTTCCTCTTTTTAGTACATTTACAAGTCTTGGTACAATGATAGCACCTCTAAAGATTACCAATGGGTATCTCACAATGACGTATGGGAATGGTGATAAAATACAAGGTCGTTGTAAAAACCCTACCACTACCATACAGTTTGTCTGTGATGATGTCGTTCCCGAAGGTGTAGGGGTAAGTCAATGTCTCAATGATATTGCTGTTGACTTTCCTGATGAGGAACTTAGCTCAAAATACAGAACAAGGTTAACCCCAAAGATCGATAACATTTTTGACTCACGGATGTTGGGAAGCAACATGTGTGAGTCTTTGTGGTTAATTGAGTGTGGGGCAGTTAAACAATGGGAAATGACCAGCCTGCTTTGCGCGCACTGTTTAGCGGGTTGGAGCACCCGTTCGTTTTTTTTTTATTTGGCAAAAGAGGCACGACAAATGGCAAAATTCGCACGGTGCCCGTTTCCAAAAACAACTGCAAACTGCTTTAATTCTTTCTGTCACCTTCATTTGATCTCATCCGTGAGTTGGCCTCAACGGCCTTTGATTATATTTTTCAACGTTTCGACTATATTTCAGTCATCATCAGGATAAACTAACTAGGTTATGTATAAAAAATATTCATATGAAAAAATAGGATACATTACGTTGATTATTAATGAATTAGTTAAATATGATTAGTCCTTTAGAAGCTTTAATTCCATGATTATATAAGTTCAGGTTTATATCTTTGAATAGCGAGGGATTCTTGACACAGCAAAAGGGACCAATGGTTAGATTTATCAATTACTTTACTATTGTGGAAAACATGTTCAGCCATTATACTGGTTTGATTAGACTTTGCGTCATAGTCGGGATATAGTTTTAAAAGGGCTTTAATATGTTGAAACTGTTCGCAAGTATAGAGAGGTGCTGATGGATATTAATGTTCCTTACTTCTGATGTATAAGCAGCGGGCAGTTTTGCCGATATAACTTCTATTACATCCAGGGCAAGAAAATTCATAGACAACAGAGCTTCGGTTGATTATTAATTAGGTTGATTATTAATGAATTAGTTAAATATGATTAGTTCTTCAGAAGCTTTAATTCCATGATTAAGTTCAGGTTTATATCTTTGAATAGCGAGAGATTCTTGATACAGCAAAAGGGACCAATGGTTAGATTTATCAATTACTTTACTATTGTGGAAAACATGTTCAGCCATTATACTGGTTTGATTAGACTTTGTGTTATCGTCGGGATATAGTTTTAAAAGGGCTTTAATTTGTTGAAACTGTTCGCAAGTATAGAGAGGTGTTGATGGATTACAGATTCTGTGTGGTATGAATGTTCCTTAGTTCTGGTGTATAAGCAGCGATCAGTTTTGCCGATGTACCTACTATTACATCCCGGGCAAGTAAATTCATAGACAACAGAGTTTTTATAAGTTTTCGGAATTTTGTCTTTGCATGATACAAATACGTTGCAGTTAATAATAAATCGGCATTTTAATGTGAGGAAGAGGGGTTTTTTTGTATCAACGAACGAGAAATACGTTGATAAATATAAAAATGTTATCGATCTTTGGAGTTACACTTGTTTTGTATTTTGTTAAAATACTCAGTGTAGTCAGGCAGATAGAGGAACAAAAATTATGGGAAACTTACCATATCGAGGGGCAATTCCATGTTGCGTTCATATTGTGCCCTGAAGGCTAGTATTAAGTACGTTTCTGTATGTCGGCGGCGTTAAAATTTCTTGTCGGCTCCTGCCGACACGTTTTTCTTCCAATTTTGTATTAAACTCTACTACAGTTAAAAAAATGTGAAATTTCAAATACATTTCTAACAAAAATCACTTTATATAATTTGAAAGCTTGCAAAAAAACTACATATAAGACATTTAAACGGTTACCACGGTTTTTCAAGTTCTTCTTGAGTTATAACCTGTTGAAAGCGTGTTTTCTGGCTAGTACCCAGGAATTTTGCGAGATTTTGGCCTATTTTTCACATTTGGTACAGCAATAACTCGAAAACTACTGGAAAATCCCAGCTAACCATTTAAATGTCTTATACGTAGTTTTTTGTTAGCTTTCTATTGATGCAAGTCATTTGTATTAGAAATGTACCTGAAATTTCTCATTTTTTAACTGTAATAGGGTTTACAGTCAAACCGGATGTTCTCTTGCGAGCAACAATGCAATATTGTCCCACAATATTGCAATTTTGATAGGCTGATTGCTCTGAGCAACTTGCAACCGACGCGAACAAATTGCAACTTGAAATTCACAGAAGATTTGTAAACAAAGCCTCTGATTGGACTATAAGAAAGGGGGAAGCACCAATCCAGTTGCTCAGACTATTTGATTGGCTTCCCTCTTTCTTATAATCCAATCAGAGGCTTTGTTTACAAATCTTTTGTGAATTTCAACTTGCAATTTGTTCGCATCGGTTGCAAATTGCTCAGAGCAACCTACCTGTCAAAATTGCAATATTGTGGGACAATATTGCAATGTTGCTCGCAAGAGAACATCCGGTTTGACTGTAATACAAAGTTCGAAGAAGAACATGTCGACAAGAGCCTATACATATATTTTAACGCCGCCGACATTCAGAAGTGTACTTATTACTAGCCTTCAGGGCATAAGATGAAGGGAAAATGGAATTGCCCCTTGATATGGTTAAGTTTTTTTCCTTCTATTTGCCTGACTAGTGGTTCTAAGAACTTAGCTCAGCGTAGTGACCAGTGAACTGTAATAACACTGGAATGCTAACTGCAGGTAGACATGCCCATACTAGACCGAAACCAAGATGGCGCTTCTCGCGAGGTTCGGCGAGCAATAAATTAACTTTCAAAAGGACTAGGGAGAGTTTCGAGGAGCGGGAAATTCAGTCAAAAGTGTTTTTTTGAGCGAAAATCAGCAAGAAAAAGTACTTTCTTCTATCAAAAGGCTTCAACTCTAAAGATTCAAACCTGGTTTCCTGGATAGTTCTAAGTATTTTACATCCACTAACAGCAAAAACAGATCTTGGTCTGACCATTTAGAAATTCTCTCCATAGAAATTGAATCTCATACACCAAATAAATGCCTGCTGTGTGTCTGCTACAGACCACCGAACGGTGATCTTAATGAATGGCTTAGTTATTTTACATTGTTCCTTCAAGTGGCTGAAAAATATGAAAACGTTTTCATAACTGGAGACTTTAATTTTCCTGAATTGTCTTGGAACTCTGACCTTACTTCCCAGAATGCCCCTCCCAGCTCCATTGAATTTCGAGATCTCGTATACGACTTTTTTCTTGAACAAGTTAACCCGCATCCGACGAGGCTGAACAACATCCTTGATCTAATCCTGACCAACACTCCTGAGTGTGTTATCGATGTATCGTGCATATCACCACAATCAATGGACCTCTTCAGCGATCATAATCTTCTGTTCTTTGATTTCAACCTGTTTGCCAAGTTATCTTCCAGTGACAAACGATCTGTCCTAGATTACCGCTTAGCAGACTGGCCGGGTTTATACAGAACTCTTTTAACAATAAACCTGTCGCCATCAATAGCCTTAAATCAAATCAATAACATGGGCACAAATAGTAATCCTGATGATATCAACAAGGACTGGGAACGGTGGTGTGATCGTTTCATGGATGCTGTACATCGTCATATCCCGACTAAAATTATTAAAAAACGAACATCTCCCCCTTGGCTAGACAGTGAAACGCATCACCTATTACACAAAAAGGAAACGGCTAGAAGAAAAGCCAAAAAGAGCTGCTGGAGTAACAATCTCTGGGAAAATTTCAGAAACCTTCGCCGTTCCTGTAAGTCGCTGATATCTCGTAAGCGAAAAGAGTTCTTTCAGTCTTTACCTGTTCTTATGAAATCAAACACAAAACGATTCTGGTCGTTGTTCAAATTTACATCAAATTCATTTAGTGTACCAAACAAAATGAGTTGGAAGCGTGATGAAGGAACTGTCATAGCTGAAAATCCTGAAGACGTTGCAAATCTCTTAAACAACTTCTTATTTTCTATGTTTAATAAACCTCTTTCCCAAGAAGATTACGATGCCCATCCAGCGTCCACCACCACCTTCTGTGACCCCATAAGCGATATCAACATCTCACCTGATGACGTTCAACGTGCTCTTCTCTCTCTCGATGACAACAAAGCTACTGGTCCAGACAAAATTCCGGCAAAGTTGCTTAGATGTTGTGCTCCATACATTTCCTCATCCCTTGCTGATCTCTTCAATAGAAGCTTAACTTCCGGTAGTGTACCAGCGGAATGGAAAGTTTCTAATATAATACCCATTCCTAAAGGTGGTCAAAAGAACGAAGTTTCAAATTATCGACCCATATCTTTACTTCCAATTGTATCAAAGGTGCTCGAGCGTTGCATATACGACCAATTGATTAACCATGTCTCAAGTGAACTGCATAACCTCCAATATGGATTTCTCAGGGGGAATTCTACAACATCACAATTACTAAAGGTTCTACACGAGTTTGGTGAGTCACTCGACAAGAGAATCCAAACTGATGTCCTTTATCTCGATTTCGCTAAAGCGATTGACAGGGTCGATCATCAACTGCTTCTCAAGAAACTTAGTAATTTTGGAGTTTGCGGAAACTTGCTGAGCTGGTTTCATCAAAAAATTACCATTTTAGGAAAAACATCCCGATCAATACCCGTTCTATCAGGTGTTCCTCAGGGTTCAATCCTTGGCCCTTTATTGTTTCTTGTATACGTGAATGATCTGCCCGAAAGGTCCACCACATCGTCTGTTGCTCTGTTCGCTGATGATACCAAGTGTTATCATGCCATAAGAACAACAGATGACGTAAAAGCTCTCCAATGTGATCTGGATGGAATCAGCCAATGGTGTCGGACGTGGCGCATGAACCTTAACGAAACTAAGTGTGGAGTTCTTAAGGTAACAAGGAATCTCAAACCCGTGCAGTCATCTTACCATCTCAACAACGATAACTCAGCCAACTCAACGGTCATGTGTAAAAGGCTTGTTCAAAAAGATCTTGGCGTTCTCATCACTGCAGATCTCAAGTGGAACCAACAAGTCTCTGCTGTATGTGCGAAAGCAAACAGAATGCTTGGGTTCGTAAAAAGGTCCTCCATTAAGATGCATGATCCTCGTACACGTACCGCAGTTTATAAAACGTTAGTACGAAGTCGTTTCGCGTACAGCTCCCAAGTCTGGTCCCCGCAGTCTGTGTCTTTAATCCTCGAAGTCGAGAAGATTCAAAGACGTGCAACGAGATTCATCCTATCGCTGCCGTTTAGATCTGAAACTAGTTACCAGGAGAGACTATTGAAAACTGTCTTACTGGCACGAGTACCTGGACTTGGTGTATCTCTTTAAGGCAATTAAATTGAATGACTCTCAGATTAGTATAGTATCAAACGATCGTATCACCAGGCGCGCTACAACTAACAGTGTAACATTAAAACTTTCCAGAGTTAACACTTTAACTTTTCAGAACAGTTTTTATAATAGAGCTCCCAGAATATATAACTCCCTACCACCACATATTCGAGAAGCAAGCGTTACTGTCGGCCAATTCAAATCTTACCTGTTAACTTATTATGAAGCAATGACTAAAGAAATATATAACATTAATGCTCCACAAACATTTAAAAGTATATGTGTCAAGTGTCACTCGTGTCGTCCGTTGTCCAGTCTTGTGGATAAAATGTGTTGTAAATAATGTAATGTTGTGTTTTTTTTTGTTTTTTATATATACATATTATTAGGGACCCTGTAAATGGAGCATTAAGCTCTGTAGGGTTAACCTGTCATTTATGACTAAGTTTGTAAAAAAAAAACAAAAAAAAAAAACCTTCCTGGGTAACAGCTTGATATTCAAAATATTACACAAGTCTGAACGTGACGAAAAAAACTTCGCACTTTGTCTCCTGAAAAAATAACTTTAAGACTGCTCTACGTTCTGGAAACATGTTTTGTTGTTGTTTGAAACTTTCTAACATTTTACACACATTAGGTAGCACCAGTTGTCGATGGATTCGACGAAACAACATGTGAATTTCACGTGACATGGCTAACTCGTGCTGCCTGTCCAGTACGCAGTCTCCTGGGTGGGTCTAATGTTCCTTGCACTGCCATCCATCCAGCTACGAAAAAAGCTATAGATCTAAGACCACTGAACAACAGAGAAGATGGTTTTTACCAGGTTAGAGATCAAGATAACAATCAATACAAGATTAATGTATGCGGGAGTGCCAAAGGTAAGAAAATCTTTTAGCATTTCCATACTTGATGTTTGTGGTATTACTTTGTGTATGCATCCACACCGGGCAAGCTGAAAGTTTGCCTGACCACGGTCGGAATCGAACCCGCGACCTTTGGGACACTATAGTCCAATGCTCTGCCAACTGAGCTGCGTGGTCAAGTCGTTTCAAGTTGGTGATATTTCGAAACTGAGTCTAGTTCCTTCGATATCAATGTATTCTAAGATATGATACTTTTTTGTGTGTTGGCGTTATGTGCTCAGGTGAATATGATGTTTGCGGTGTTACTCTGAGTGTGCATCCACACCGGGCAATCTGAAAAGTTTGCCCGACCACGGTGGGAATGGAACCTGCGACCTTTGGGATAGACCCCGGAGGCAATTATTACTCATCAGCAAAGGAAGCGCTAATGAAATGGATGATTCCAGCTGCAGACGAAATTTTGATCTAGACAAGAAGAACGAACTCCATTACCATAGCTGGAAAGAGCATCTTAAAATGAGTAAAATTGCAAAGTTTGGTTGCGAAATGTTGTAAAATGAGGAAAATATAGCCCTGTGAATTCGCAAATTTTGTATATATTTGCGAGGGGTAAATTACTCTGAAAGTACGAAGATTTTTGGGATTAGAAAATCCCGGCAATTTTTCTCGGGATTCTGGGATTTTTTCCCCAAATTTAAGGGATTTGGGGTTTTTTTTCAACTGATTTTTTCAAAATGTTTTCCCTTATGTTGTTTTCGCCGAACTTTTTCCGGCATTTTTTGCGACATATAATCCGTCGAATTATTTTTAAAATGAAATAAATCAACGAAGGGCATTTTCACGCCAATTAGCGATTTAAATGTTTAAATTTGATGCGATTTCTCAATATTGCAATAATTTTGAGGATTTTATTGGGCTTTTTCCAAGTATTTTATCCAATTTTTAGAGAGTTCTTGGGATTTTGGGATTCTGGGATTTAGTAAGATTTTGGGATTTTTCCAAAGATTTTTTGGGATTTTTGATGAAGTATACGAAGATTTTCAAAGTAATTTAACCCTCGTATATTTGCATTACGCGCGGGAAAAATAACCATTTTTGAGCCGAAAGTGGCTATTTTTACCGCGCGTAATAGCTGTATCAAGATCCGCTGCTCAAATTTTAACTAGTACAAGAAATGTTTTTTGCATAGGCTGTCCAAAGAATTCCGGGATCTGCAAGATAGGCAAACACAACGTAAATGTGGGAAGTGTTGACACAACGCTTGTCTATCGTCAAGGATTTCTGTCTCTGCATTACAAGAATGGCGATAACTGTGAAGGCCAGCAAAACCGGAAAACAGAGACCTTGATATCGTTTATGTGTGATCCTCAGGCAGGAAACGGGAAACCCACGTTGGAACGAACCAATGATTGCACACATTTTGTCACTTGGAAAACAAAGTTGGCTTGCGAACCTGAGGTATTTCATGATTCTTTAATGGCACTATTTCATTAGATTAATTACGTTTTCGATATTCAAAAAATAGAACGAAAAGAAAAAAGGATGATAAAATCAATAGAGCGTTTGCCCTCATTCCCCAGAGGCCAACTCAACAAAAGCCATGGCGGCCATGCTGGTATGCTATGTAATAATTCAAAATTTTCATAAGAGGTCAAAATATTGCCAGAACTAAAACTTTCAATGACCCCTTTCCCCCTCAATTACTCTTGAAACTCTGGTGACTCCCCCCCCCGCCCAAAAAAAAAATTCCATAAATAATGAACACTCCCTTAACTATTTTAACACGTGTACAGGTTGATTCCCCCCCCCCAAAAAAAAAAAAACAACAAACATCATAAATAATGAGCACTCCCTTAACTATTTTAACACTTGTACAGGTTGATTGTGTTGCTCATGACGGCCAGCAATTTTACGATCTCACGCCTTTGATTAAGAACGATGCCAATTACGAGGTATTCATAAATTGTTTTTTGTGTATATGAGGATTTCGAGCCAAGAACTATTTAGTAACAAGAAGCACTGCATTTAGAATACGTGTAAGGCCGTGTATCCGAAATCAATATTTTACCATTGTAAATGTTCTTTAGGTTGTTCATCTAGAAAAAACGTATCTTATAAATGTGTGTCGCTCATTGGTCAGCGGTTCACGATGTCCAGCAAATGCAGCAGTTTGTAAGGTATGGTGCTTTTATTATATAGTAGAGAGCGAGATACTGAAAATACAGAGTGGGATATTTTCCATATCTATCGATCACGTGACTTTTCCAATTTGCTTTTGAACATGAAATTTCACAATTTTTTGCTTGGGACTATATAATAAACAGAACATTACACGGTGGCTTGAAGAACATTACACGGTGGCTTGAAATACAGAGTGGGATATTTTCCATATCTTCTTCACTAGTGAAGATATCGTTCACGTGACTTTTACACGGTGACTTGAAGACACGTGACTTTTACACGGTGACATTACACGGTGACTTGAAGAACATTACACGGTGGCTTGAAATACAGAGTGGGATATTTTCCATATCTTCTTCACTAGTGAAGATATCGATCACGTGACTTTTCCAATTTGCTTTTGAGCATGAAATTTCACAATTTTTTGCTTGGGACTATATAATAAACAGAACATTACACGGTGGCTTGAAGATATGACTTTTATTTTCTCGTGTTAAAAACAATATTTTACTCATTCGCTGCGCTCGTTTGTAAAATATTGTTTTCATCACTCGAAGATAAAAGTCATATCTTCGCACCGCCGTGTAACATCCTCTACATATGAGCAATGTAGATGTCCTGAACATGTTGCACAGTTCTATGTTGGTAGCAGCTTGAGATTAAGGTCTGGATTAGGAGTTATGGGGTTAGAATTTCAGTGAGGATTTGATTGAGGATTTCTGGTAGGATTAAGTTGCGATTATAGGTTTACGCTGGTTTACACGTCTATCAAAGTTTCTGTGATCACAGAAGGAATTTTTCATAGGTAAAAGTTTTCAAAGATTTGTAAGAAATGCTTGAGAGATCTGGCTCAGGGTTAAACACTAAGTCAGTTTGCTCAAGCGTTTCTTACAAATCCTTCAAAACTTAGAATTTATATACACAAAATTCCTACTGTGAATCACAGAAACTTTGATTGTGTAAACCAGCCTTACTGCGGATTTCGGAATAGCGTTTCAGCGCTTTAATTTCCGGTATTTGTTTTTCCGTTGAACCATACATGACGTATGCATGTAGTGTACATATGTATCAGTGTATTAATGAATTATGACTGTACAATTTGCATTAAAATTTTACTTTATTGTTTCAATTTTACAGCAGGGGTGGAAAAAGTATCGGAACCTGGGAACCTAGTTCCCAGAATTTTTTTTGAGTTGAGAATTTTGCAGAAAATTTTCCAGAAAATATTTCAACATTTTGAGATAACTCTGTTTATTCAACTTACAAGTTACAACTATTCTACTTTATTTACACTGTACACGCTAATGTCAGCAGCTTTTAAATATTTGACAGAAATGAATTCTTTTACCCACCCCTGCCATCACAATGACTGGTAAAATGGTAAATATATGCTCTGCAAAGTCTCCAATAAAATGCAAATTAAATAGTAAACAAATAAAAGTGATGGACTAAATAAGATGATAGGACACTTAGTTAAGCGTTAGATCCTTACTATGATGTTTGTGATGTTATTCTGAGTGTGTATCCACACAGGGCAAGCTTGAAAAATATGCCTGGCCACGGTGGGAATCGAACCTACGACCTTTGGAATACTAGCCCAATGCTGTGCCAGCTGAGCTACGCGGTCAGGTCGGTTCGAGTATGTGATATTTCGGAACTGAGTTTAGTTCCTTCGACATCAATGTAATCTAGTATATTCCAAAGGTTGTATAAGTTTGATTCCCACCATGGCCAGGCATATTTTTCAAGTTTGCCTGGTGTGGATATACACTCAGAGTAACACCACAAACATCATATTCACCTTAGTACATAACACCAACACAGAAAAAATCAAGATCCTTACTAGTTGGTCATAACTCATAACTGTGGTATATAACAGACAACTATTGTGATGTACAAGCGTACGAAAACCAGCCTAAAGCCCATTATCACTAACGTGCAAATAATACAATAATTATGCATTTGTTTTGTTATTTTTGTAATTGTAACATTACAAATTTTACATACAATTTCTAGCCTTTGGCCCAGGTTCCCACAAAGAAAAAAAATTTTTCCACCCCTGTTTTACAGAAAAACATTCTTACGAAGTGTAGACCCTAAGCAACTAAAAATATCAAATTTTCACTTTGATCCATCATTGAAACTTTCCCAAGGGGAGGTGCATGACTTTTCAGGGGCGGTGCAAAAATTCTCAGGGGCGGTGCAAAACGATCTCAGGAGAGGTGCGCACCTCCCCTCAATATCCGGCTCATGGTGTGTATTGCATGTTTTATAGGATGGAGAAAGTTTTGGACACGTGAGCTCTTCACCAAAGATAGTTTCAGGAGAAACCGAAGTGAAAGCTCAACTGGTTTATGAAAACGGAAGATGCGGAGGTTTGGGTAACACGACCATTAATTTTCACTGTGATCCAAAAGATCTCGTGGTATGTTCTATATCACACTTTCTTTTTAAATGAAACCGAAATTTATTCGACGTCCTAACATAGTGTGGTTAATGTAACCAGAAATCTGGTTATATTTGACCAGGACCTGGTATATAGTGTGGTTAATGTAACCAGAGATCTGGTTATGTTTTGACCATGCAGGACCTCCTAGTATAGTGTGGTTAATGTAACCAGAGATCTGGTTATATTTTACCAGGACCTTCTGGCATATAGTGTGGTTAATGTAACCAGAAATCTGGTTATATTTGACCAGGATCTCCTGGTATAGTGTGGTTAATGTAACCAGAGATCTGGTTATACCTGACCAGCACCTCCTAGTATAGTGTGGTTAATGTAACCAGAGATCTGGTTATATTTGACCAGGACGTCCTAACATAATCTGGTTAATGTAATTAGGCCAAGCCTGAAAATAAATTTTCAACGGTGCCTGACAAAGTGTCAGGTACCAACTGATTGGTGCCAGACATCGGACATTTTGTGCCACTACTCAATTATATCTTACGAAATCGAACAATCATAATTTTCACAGCATTTTCACAGGCATATTGTCTTACGCGATGAAATTGGGACATACACATAATTTTTAAATGCGGAATGCATATATTTTTTGAAATATGATTAGTTCCAGCTAGATAATAGTCTCACCAATAGTTGTATTAATATGCTGCCGGACAAACTATCCGGCAAACAAAACCCCAGTTGTACAGGGCAATTATATTTTCGTACCGACAATGTCTGCGACCGGCCGCTTATCTTCAGACTTGAACCAAGCTTGACATTTGAGTTGGGTCTTTCACAAATCAGCTTTCAGCTGCAACTAAAGATGATAAGCACTCCCCACTTTAGTCACCCCCAGCCGTTCTTGCATGCTGATAAGACATAACCTTCGTTTCTTTTGCTAACAGAATAAGCAAGTCATCGTGTTTGCCGATAAATGTTCATTGAGGATATCATGGTGGACCTCGTTGGTTTGCCCAAAAAACATGGCAAATAATAATTGCATATTCAGTGATCCTGAGCAAAAGTTCTGCTTTGATCTTAAAAAGCTGGGTGGAGAAAAATCTGTCACTGTAAGTTCAACATTCATGCTGGGTAGCACCATTATATTAGCACTATCTTACTTTATATATTAGAACTCTATTTGGGTCTAAATGCCAGTACAGTGCTTATTCATGTCACTTATATGTCCAGTGTTGCTACAGAACGACACTTAAACTAAACTAACTTCATTTGTATTGAATAATTCAGTCAGTTCAAGCATGTTCTCTCTAGATGGCTAGCAAGAAGCTATCCCTAATATATTGGTCCAGTGTTACTACATAGAAAATCTAAACTAAACTAACTTCAAAAACTCATTAATAATGCATGAGGAAAACACAAAGAGAAATCATAAGCGTGGCGTGTCTTTATATGTGATAAAACACGCTTCAAATTTCGATTTGTATTTTCTCAGCTAATACAAAGTTATTTTGGAAAATTATTTCGCCAATGCCGTGATCTAACTGAGACGTTTTTGAAGCTGTTTAATAAACTCGTAGTTCGTGTTTTATCACATATAAAACACTCCGCTACACGTCGTGTTTTATATGTGATAAAACACTCCTACTCGTTTATTAAACAGTACTTCAAAAACTCACTAATAATTCATAAACCTCGTGGCAAATCATGTCAGCCATAATATGTCACGTGGAGTGACTTTATATCTGATAAAACAAATGCATGCATGTGGCGTATATAATTGTTCGTCCTAATTAGTATTCTTATATAATTGTTCATCCTGATTAGTATTCTTATATAATTGTTCATCCTAATTAGTATTCTTTTTGTAGTCGTATTTAATAAATAAATGATAAAACACTCCTACTTGTGTTTTAAATAGTACTTAAGTCATACTGAATAGCCCGTATTAGTTGTAGACCGTTTTTCCTAGAGGTCTAATAAGAGTCATCCTTGATTAACATATTAGTCTCGTGTTACTACATATGGAAACCTAAACTAAACTAACTGCATTTATACTGAATAATTCAATCAGTTCAAGACTTTCTAGTAAGGAGCCATCCCTAATATATTGGTCCAGTGATACTACCATTGTGTTACTACAGGAGGAAACTTAAACTGATCTAACCTTTGTTCATACTGGATGTCTCTACCATTTCTGGGCTATATACAATGACAATTTGCCCTCACTTTCATCTTGTTTCTTCAGTTTCCCGGTGGAGATGTTCACTTTCACGTATGCAGTGATCATGGCAACGATTGTGGTGGCGCACATGGCGAAGCTTGCTTAACAATTGGAGATACATTTCCCAAGGCACTGCTACGCTCAGTGATTAATTATAACGGACAAGAGGTGCAAATATCGTATGAGGATGATGTTGTTCTCGTCTTATATTGCGGGGAGGATGGCAACTCAAATGCTCCTCAATATATTGGAAAGGTGAGAAAATAAAATAACCTTGTTTCAACTAGATAGCTCTATCAGTTCTAACTGTTCTCCGTAGAGGTCTAGTAAGGAACATTCCTCATTGATCCAGTGTTACTACAGGAGAAAACCTAAACTAAACTAACTTTATTTATACTGGATATTAACTCTATCAGTTCTAAACTGTTCTTTCTAGAGGTCCAGTAAGGAAGATCCCTCATTGATCCAGTGTTACAACAGGAGGAAACCAAAACTAAACTAACTTTATTTATACCGGATAGCTTTATCAGTTCTAACTATACGTGCCTCATCGAAACCAGGCCATTGTGTCACCAATCTCGTATTTGCTGAACAACCTTGTTAAAAACTTGAGTTTTTCTCTGACTTTTTATTTCTGTTTAATTTCATATAGCACAAAGTCAATGGGCTAACAACAAAGTATTTCTTCAATATGGTCACACCTGAAGTCTGTCCACCTCGAAAACTTCCGTGTGAAGTGAAATATAATGGAAAGACGTTTAACTTGGCTGGACTGAGCGAGAAAAATTTTCGAGTGACAGGCAAGGACAATGAGTAAGAACGAATCATGCAGTATATGCATTGAAGTCTCGACTTAATATTTTGCCATATTAGGCTCAGAAGAATCCTATTAGATATATCATACTGTAGTCTTATACTGCATGATTCGATGAATTCAATAAGAGTTTTATTATATCGAACAAAACAATTCTATTACAAAAATTATTAAACTCATTAATAATTCAAGAAGAAATGAATGTTTAATCAATGTTGGTAAATCGGATAAAGATTTGTCCTGGTTTACATAAACTTCAGCTTTGATTTTTTCGGCTTTGACAAAGCTTATTTTTTAAATTAGAATTTAAAATTTGCATCCGATCTTTATCTGATATACAAACTCTCGCCTTCGGCTCGAGTTTGTATATCAGATAAAGATCGACTGCTCATGTTTTATCTAGTACTTGTAAATAAGCAATACAGCGAGAATACAGCGAGAATAATACAGCGACAACATTACTAGATATATTGGCGGCGAATTTGCTTAAATAACTATACAAAAAGTTAATAAACTTGTTTTTACAAATAGGTGTGCATAGATAAACTCAATTCCATGTATGTTTAAAGGAAATTTGACCTAATTTTAACGAAAAAAATAATATTGCTAACGTCGAGGCTGTTGCAAACAAATGAATTTCGCGAAGACAAGTTTTCTCGCGCTTTTATAATTAAACAAAACTGGTAGAAAAAACTGTATTAATGTCCTAAATTCTTTTCATTGTGCCATATCGCTTGTTGTATGTTTGAAATTGACAAAACATCTGAAAAGGTTGAAAAACCATGAAAACGCAACTGTCCAATAGTAGGTTCCTGTCCAATATCGTAAGATATTGGATCGGCACGTGACTCTCTCAACGATTACTGATTGGTTGAGTGCGCGTGAGTGTATAATAATAGGGTTTCTATTCCACCCAAGTACCCCGCAAAGGCCACATTTCTTTTCCATTGACTCATTCATTATAATGATACTTCCTTCTAGTTACTTGGTTAGTATTTGTGGTCATATCCAATACACCACAGAAACAAGTAAGTAGTGTGATATATCCAAATGTGTCTGAACTACCTGAAAAGGCTGATTCCTGGACACAAGGAATTAGGAATGCAATTTTGTCTTCAGTTATAAAGTTTATCTATATGATACTATATCACACCATACCGTACCATACCCTACAATGTCGTACCATACCATACTATGGCATGGTATAGTATGGTATGGTATGGTATGGTATGATATGATATGATATGACATTGTAGGGTATGGTATGGTGTGATATGGTATACTATTTATTATATCATATATATACTACTATAGCATATCATCTCAAACTCATTAATAATTTATGAAGTAAATTAGCCAACCATATTGCTTTATTTTGCTCACATGATAATACTGGATACCTGATGAAGTACATTGATCCAGTCCTAGGACTGGATCAAAATTAATTCCCATATACCACTAGACCATACCATATACCACTAGACCATACCATATACCTGACTACACCATACCATATACCTGACTAGACCATACCATATACCTGACTAGACCATACCATATACCTGACTAGACCATACCATATACCACTAGACCATACCATATACCACTAGACCATACCATATACCACTAGACCATACCATATACCACTAGACCATACCATATACCACTAGACCATGCCATATACCACTAGACCATGCCATATACCACTAGACCATGCCATATACCACTAGACCATGCCATATACCACTAGACCATACCATATACCACTAGACCATGCCATATACCACTAGACCATGCCATATACCACTAGACCATGCCATATACCACTAGACCATGCCATATACCACTAGACCATACCATATACCACTAGACCATGCCGTATACCACTAGACCATGCCATATACCACTAGACCATGCCATATACCACTAGACCATGCCATATACCACTAGACCATACCATATACCACTAGACCATGCCGTATACCACTAGACCATACCATATACCACTAGACCATACCATATACCACTAGACCATATACCACTAGACCATATACCACTAGACCATATACCACTAGACCATGCCATATACCACTAGACCATGCCATATACCACTAGACCATGCCATATACCACTAGACCATGCCATATACCACTAGACCATGCCGTATACCACTAGACCATACCATATACCACTAGACCATACCATATTCTGACTTGTGTCTTATATGACATGATAAATAATTTCTATCCCATGTATTCTAGACCATACCATATACCACTAGACCATACCATATACCACTAGACCATACCATATACCACTAGACCATACCATATACCACTAGACCATGCCATATACCACTAGACCATGCCATATACCACTAGACCATGCCATATACCACTAGACCATGCCATATACCACTAGACCATACCATATACCACTAGACCATACCATATACCACTAGACCATACCATATACCACTAGACCATGCCGTATACCACTAGACCATGCCGTATACCACTAGACCATACCATATACCACTAGACCATACCATATTCTGACTTGTGTCTTATATGACATGATAAATAATTTCTATCCCATGTATAGAGATCTGTTCATCTCGAGCGACAGCGGTGAGAATTTCAAGCAAAGGAAAACCTCAAGTGATAGGAGTCGACAGGGATTATATATTTCAATATCAAAGTAAGAAACTCAGAACATCGAATCTTTATACCCAATCTGAACTTCTCTAATGACACAATAATCACTGTATGCATCACGTTACAAACATGATGTTACTTTTTACAGAACATGACACAGATTACCCAATACATCTTCAGTACTCAAGCAGTGAAGCAATCTGTGGTGGGAAAAAAGCGAAAGTCTTGCATAAATTCAAATGTAATTATGGCACTAATCCACCACAGTTTCACAGGTACGCGCAAACATATTTTATAATGGCTTGTTGGAAATCATTTTTTAACAGAGATCTCAAAAATTTACGTCATAAATATCACAGGCATTAACCTGTGAAGAGTAACATCTGCGTATAATATTTAAAATATAAAAAAAATATAAAACAACGGTAACTCCGAAAATAAACATTTTAAACTAAGGCATCAAAAGAACTTGTAATATTTAACTAATCGTTTTCGGTACATATCAAATTACTTAACCTTCACTATATATATATAAATATATATATATATATATATATATATATATATATATATATATATATATATATATATATATATATATATATATATATATATATATATATATATATATATATATATATATATATATATATATATATATATATAATATCGATGTAATGTAACCTAGCATTATTCCTGTTGATGATTGAATCTTAGTCGAAAGCTAGAATATTAAAATGTTTATTTTCGGAGTTACCGTTGTTTTATATTTTATTTAAAATACTCAGTGGTGCCCGTAACTGTTTCCGTATAATGTTTCTTTTTATAGTTTTAAAGACTGCGTGTATACATTTTTATGGCAAACAGTTGAAGCATGTCCTGCCAAAAGGTATTGTCTATGCGCTGAGATTACAATGGTTGAAAACACTAAACGGCATTTACAAGATGGCAGAAATAGCCATTCTATCTAAGATAGCCAAGAGAGCTAATTTAAGACCATGCCTGTAGATTATATTTTTGAGTGGAGGTAGGCATGCAACTAACCAAGGTCGCGTGATTGGGTTTAGACTATTGAGGTAGTGATTCTCCTGATGCCTACCTAACTGCTGCAGTCTTGACACAGTTACGATTGCACATTGATTACTGAACTGTATTTATCCAGGACTCTTTTGAAACAGAATGGAGATGATTGGACATTTCATGACGATAAAAGTTTTAATTCTGAACTACAAGTCCTCTTGTAGTCACACTATGAATAAGGGATGATATTTGCTCGACCTCTCTGGACAATAATTTAGAACTGATAAAGCTATTCAGAATAAACAAAGTTAGTTTAGCTTGGATTAGTCTTAAATCTAGAAACGTATAACTGATGTTTGTCAATTGCAGGACATCCAGTTATTCCAACAGTGCCGACACTATCTCACGTTCCGTGTCGAAATCAGCTCTCGCAGTTATTGGAACATTCACAGGCGTTGGCCTTCTTGCTGCTATCTTATTTCTTGCTTGTAAACCAGAAAAGGGGTATAATATTGTCAGAACTACCTATACATATCTATACCTACCTACCCACCTAACTGTACCTACCTTCCTAACTACCTACCTACCTAACTATACCTACCTACCTAACTATACCTACCTACCTACCTACCTACCTACTCACCTGCAGGGCCGTAACTAGACGCGATAATTGGAGGGGCGTGCATATTCATATATTCATGTTCACATACAGTAAAACAATCGCTTTCAAAAGAAATCAGTAGGGCAGAACACGAATATATGAATATGCACCCTCCCAATTATCGCGTCTAGGTACGGCCCTTCCCACTGACCTACCTACATACTCACTTACCTATCTACCTACTTACCTACATACATGTTAGAGTTATAAACCGAGTAGGAGGTTTATAACTGATATATTGCCCCCGACGACGCGTAGCGTCCGAGGGCAATATATCATGAGTTATAAACCGACTTTTAATCATTTATTCAAGGTCTATAAGCTAGTTATAAACCTCGGACGATCAAAGAAAACCGACACAAATGTGATATAAGCCTAGTTATTTATCTACCTGCTTTTTGATGTATCTATCTGCCTATCTGCTGTTTAAAAGTTTTTGTGTCTTTGTGTTACAGAGAGGCAGCTGCGTTATGGTTGAGGTGGCATGTTCGGAAATATATTTGCTGTAAACCCTCTTATCATGTTCTAAGTCGTTATGAGGTGCTACTTTGATACTTTTCTGTTTTCAAGCATGTCTACAATTAACGTATTGTGTCGTATTGAAATTTATTGCATTTATACATTGCCGCGTACAGCTTGAACTGGTACAAACTTAAGACGAAAGACAATCATTTATTATCTTAAGACAATATGACATGATAATCATTCAGGAACTTGGAACTACGAGTTAGAACAAGGAGCACAATTGCATACACAAACATATAATTCCAACTCATCCTACAGTCCTTTCTCATCGAATAAGTGCAATCATGTTCCATACTAAGACGTATCTGAGTTACACATACAACTGTTTTAGGGACCGGTCATCAGGGACGCCGGAACTGGGAGGGGCTGCCCTCCTTGCCTTTTGCTAGGGGGGGGGCAGAAGTGCCCTTTTAGTTGTAAAATACTACGTGATAAATCACATTTTCAACGATGCTTTTAGTAGGAAAATCATGAGATTCGGGCAATTTATAGTTTATATTTGACTTTTGGTTTGTCTGGAAAAAATTTTTTGACCCCTAAAATGGTACACTGACCGAAATTTTTTTGGCGACGGGGGGGGGGATGGGGAGGTCGCCCAAAATTTTCCATTGAAAAAAACTTCCGGTAGATTTGGAAGTTTTGCTCTATAGAGGTGCCGTTGGTGTGCGTCCGCCCCCCTTTGCCTTATTATCGTTCCGGCGTCCCTGCCGGTCATTTATGGTTGGGGGGAGGGGTGGCACCGAAGAGAAATGTTTTGCTTGGTAAATATTTTGCTGATCCAACCATTAAAAAGTCAAAAAAATATTTTTACCCTACCTCAAATATCGATTAAAATAAATACCCACCCCTGGCAAAAATTGTTACAGAAAGATACCTCCATGAATTGAGTTTGATAATTGCTTGCGCAGCTTTCTGCAGTCTAAAGTTTCATGTTGTCTGCACATGTACTTTCTTTGAAGACACCATTTGCCTAACAAATCGGAAAATGATCAAGATAGTGACTTTCACAGATTTACATATTGTAGTGAGATATGACTGTTGACATTCCTTTTTAGGCTTCAATGTTTGAGTGAGTCATGCTTTGGAAATGACAATACGTTTTTATTACCCAACCCTTGAGTTGTTTTGTTTTTCAATTACCCAAGCTTTTACTCACTCATAATTTTGTTTACCCAACCCTTTTCTCTTCGGCGCCACCCCGGTCCCTTAAGTTACGGTTTGTAATACCTTGGAAAGTTTTTCGGTCATATGGTACCAACAAAGTATAAGAACACTGATAGCAAGAGAACCATGTATCTACGTAGTATTTGGCTGAAAACAAAAAAGTACCAGACCGTCATGTTGACGTACGTAAGTATAGTAGTACACAAATTATAGCGTCTTGTCCTTAGAGAGTTTGAACAAGACAACGAAGACGAAGGCGTACTTGACAATTTTTCCCTTCTGCACATTATCTTGCTCTCGCTGAGTTGGACGTCAATGGTGGTTGCTCAACCTGTCTTCCCATGTGTCGCTGTTTATGATTACTGACCCCAATTCTTGCCCTGACCCTGACAAAACAGCGAGACATGAAACTATATCCCGTCTCTGTTCTACTGCCTTCGTGCAGTACGAAGTTCACGAAGAATTTTGCCAAAATAGTCGTTCAGAACGAAGGCAGAAAAACGAAGACGGGATATGGATTCATGTCTCGCTGTTTTGTGTGGGTCAGGGTAAGGATTTGGGTCAGCATTCATAAACAGCTTGACATGAATCTCTAATCTGTCTTCACCCCTGACCATTGAACTAAAAATAACTGGAACGCCACGTTCAAGCGGAAGTTTGAAGCCAAATTATACAAGGTCGTACACAGGCTTTAAAAGGCCCGTTTTAAAATAAAAGGCCCGTTTTAAAATAAAAGGCCCGTTTCCCTTTCGATTCACATCTTGCCATGAAAACGTTCAAAACGGCATGCTTCGATCGCCCTCTGCATTGTCTCGCGAGTAAATCGCGCAGTAGAAACACGCGTGGAAGTGCGTGTCTGGGAGTCAAAACTGGCTTCATTTGGCTTCATGGGAGTCAAATTTTGGCTTCAAAACTTGCATGCGCAGTTTACTGAACGTAGTGTTCCAGTTATTTTTAGTTCAATGCCCATGACCCTAAACTCAGAATGCGCAAGACAATGTGCAAGACAGGCAAAAATTGTCAACTACGTCGTCGTCGTCCTACTTCGTTCTCTTGCTCAAAGACACTCAAGAAGACAAGCCTATGGTAGAACCCACCAATAGACCTTTCCCCTTTTGAGTGAAATTTTGATCTAGACAAGCCTGGACAAAAATTTCATCACAGCTTGAAAGAACATCGCAAAATTAGTAATATTCCGAAGTTTCGTTGCGAAATGTTGTAAAATGCGGATAATATAGCCTTGCGAAGTTTGCCTTTTTTTAGTCATTTATTTGTATTAGCCTACAAACGGGAAATTGGTAATCAGATGATCAAACTGATTATCAATTTCCCATTTGTAATACAAAATGACTGAAAAACGACAAACTTCGCAAGGCTATATTATCCGCATTTTACAACATTTCGCAACGAAACTTCGCAATATTACTAATTTTGCGATGCTCTTTTTTTTGTCCAGGCTTGTCTAGATCAAAATGTCACTCATAAGGGGAAAGGTCAATTGTTTGGTGTTATATCATCCTCTTTTCTACCCTGATCAATCTGTCTTGCTGTTGTATCATTCAGGTAAACACAGATGAAGAAGAAGGTGGAACAGGAGCAGGATCATTATTTAGTGATGATCATGATGACCATGATCATGATGATCACAGTGATGATAAAGATGATGATGATCTATTACCGTTAGACGATGATCTGCTCAATTTAGATGAATAATAAACATTGAATTTTTATAGAGCATTCGTCAAACAACCACGAAGGTCAGACGCTTCAGTAGTACCCCATATAGACAAGCAAGTTTTCTCTGTCGCGTTTTATCACGAAGGCTTCTTGTCAAGAATACATATCGGGGAAAAACTGTTGTCTGTATGGGGTCCGACGAGAATTTAGAACTATAGTATTTAAGTCAGACTTAAGTGATAGATTTTGATAGCAATAATTATTTACATTCTACATTTGTAGTTATGAGAAAATTGAATAGTACGGCTAAGCCTGTTACTAGGGTCTGTATGGCTGAGAAAGTCAGGAGGCCGGCTTGTTATTCCGAACCGCATAAGAATTATACAGAACATGCAATAACTCAAATAGAGATAAGATTAGAGCTGTAAAATCAATAAGATTTGTAGTGATATTTTGTAGATATTTCCATTGTGAATAAAATTCCAGAAATGTGGATTGCTCTATTTTTTTTAGTATTTTAGCGAAAGTATCAGCTTTGTACGAAGATATGAAAAGGTTTTTCTACGAACGCAACGCGTACCTATTTTAATAAGTTATTCGATCGCTATCTTTGTGCATTTATCTAACATGACGTATCACAGGCGGCCCAGACGTGTATTAGTGTATAGTAAATATATCATTATAGAATACACTACACAGTAAAATTTGTAATGAATTTTATATTTTAAAATCATATTTACTTGCCTACTTTGATTGTATGTGATCGTCTTTTATTTCTGAGCGACTTTACATTCGATGCCTGCGACTGTCTTCATAGGTGATAGTATTGAAAGCAAAGGCTAACGATT